CCCTATTTATAAGACGTATTGAGGAAACCATCACCATAGCTCAGATATATGTTGATGATATCATTTTTGGTTCTTCTGTTGATTTTCTTGCTCGTGATTTCGCTGAATGCATGAAGCAAGAATTTGAGATGAGTATGATTGGAGAATTAAATTACTTTCTAGGTCTCCAGGTTAAACAAACTAATGATGGGTTGTTCATATCACAGTCGAAGTATGCAAAAAATCTTGTTAAGTATTTTGGATTAGAAAGCAAGAAACACACTAGGACCCCCATGAGCACTAGTGTCAAATTAGGTAATGATCCTACTGGTAAGAGTGTTGATCAGACACTGTACAAAAGTATGATAGGTAGTTTACTTTATCTCACTGCTAGTAGACCTGACATAGCGTTTAGTGTAGGGATTTGTGCACGTTTTCAGGCTGATCCCAAGGAATCCCACCTGAGCACCTTACAACGTATCGTTAGATATGTAAATGGTACCGTTGATTATGGGATCCTCTACTCTCGGGATTCTACTCTTAACCTTGCTGGCTATTCCGATGCTGATTGGGTTGGAAATGCCGATGATAGAAAAAGTACTTTTGGAGGATTTTTTATGTTGGTGCTAATCTTGTTGCTTGGATGAGCAAAATTCTATCTTATTGTCAATGGCAGAGGTCGAATATATAGCCTCAAGAAGTTGATGTACACAACTGCTTTGGATGAAGCAGATGTTGAGTGATTATGGTAATGAACAGGGGACTATGACTGTATTTTGTGATAGCACTAGTGCCATTCATATTTCCAAAAATTTCGTTCAACACTCTCAAACCAAACATATTGATATACGTTATCATTTTATTCGAGAGCTTGTAGAGAACCGTGTTGTAATCCTTGAGCACGCCTCTACAGAAAACCAATTAGTTGACCTATTTACAATGCCATTGGATGGTCTGAGATTTGAATTTCTTTATACGACTATTGGTGTTTGTGTACCTTATTGATTTTTATGCATGCTCGTTCTTTATCATTTTATGTCTTATGTTTCTACATAACTCGTAATGTTCTTACTTTTATTTTGTGTGTGTTGTCATCTGTTTGTGTGTCATACTTTCTATTTTGAATTGAAAAACAACAAAAACAATACAAAAATTTTGAAAACTTTTTCAAATATGGATGTTGCTTTTACAGCTTAACATATGATATACTTGGATCTATTTGTTGTGATCGGGCATGGGGCTAATCAATAAACTGTAACATCATTTCCATTGCTGGCTTAGGTTTTTCATAGAGTTCTTAGTATAAAAGTCTTCATGTACCATCTGCACTGCACACACTATGACATTGTTAGTGGGACTCTACTGCATGTATGAGATTTGGGATGGCTCTCACTTGTTTGTAAGGTGACTTTGAACATGAATTGACCATATGTATTAGACCTAAGCTCAAATTTATCTCTAGCATTATCAAAAATAAAAAATAAAAATACAAAGAGCTCAATATCTTATGTTTTTCTTCGGAGCTTATTTGGCTCGAACAATTAAGCCTGCAGGGTTACTCAAAACCTAGTACCTATGGTCAACTGACTTGGGTTAACCGACCTAAAGCTCTCTACAGGGGTCATTGTGTTCACTCATTGAAAAAAAGCCTGCACTTAAGATGAGAAATATTATAATGAGCTTTGTTTATTGCATGATGTGAAATAAAATATTCTGCTCATACTCAGGGGGAGAAAGAGTATTTCCATTCATTCTAAGTTTTCTGTTGTAGGTTCTATTATTCTTTACATAATTTGACTTTCATAAGTAGGGGAATAAACTTATTGGCAGTGATGTTTAGCGTGTCATTTCTCACAAATTTAAGGTCTGGAGTCCTATTT